CTTCAGTGTCCAGCTTGGCTATAGGAGCCCTCTGAAGTGTTGTCCAACTCCTCATTGTCTGTTAGCAGTTTGCCAATCTGTAGGTAAAAGGGGTCGTGCCTAGTGCCTGGCTTCCACCTTGGATAGCAGGACAGCAGAGGGGTGCTGGCCCTCCCCAACTTCTTATTCCTGCAGCAGAGAATGACCTCACATGAATGCATCCCTTATTTTAGCAGGGGGCTGTGTCTTCCCTCCGTGATGGGGCACTTGACAAACATCCTATGGAGAAATGAGTCTTGCCCAGGCCCCATAATGAGCCAGCGCTCATCAGAGGCATTATCTTTGCTAACAGCACCCATGAAATGTTACTCCCGTTCTGGCACACAGGCAAGTGATGCAGGAGGAGTCCTGGGAATTAGATCTAAAGCAGCATGCAATCTTGTACATTTTAAGGTACAAGCGTGTGATTTTCACACATTTAAGTGACGAGTGTGCCTGGGAACTGTGTGTAGAATGAGCCAGCTAGCTTAAGGTTGAAAGTTTTTGGTTTTCTGGACTGGTGCAATCACGATATAATGATGTATCCCCATATATATGGTAACCTGCTGTTAATTGCTCCCTTCATTTCCCCATTTCTCTGGTCCTACTTATGTGTATTTGCAGTGTTTGAAGAGTAAAATCAATCTTAGGAGAACGGAAGGGAAAAAAAACCAAGCCGTCAGCCGCTGTGTGCCGTGCCGGGTAGGGAACACCAGATGGCGATGCTGGACCAGCCCTGCCGCTCCTGGACCACTTTCGGAGCATCCTTCCTCTGGCGAATCCTCGACCCCCGCCCGCTCTCCTCTCCCCCTCCCCGTCCCCCTAGCGTCATGCTTGGTCTTCGTGGGGAACAGCGTGGGAGCGATGGTGAAATTGCAGCTCTGGTTGGATTTGCTGAGCTGATGGTGGTGGCCTGGGGAAGGGGGATCAAGGCAGGCTCTCTCCAGTGATGCTCAGCAAATGAGGATGCAAAGCTCACTGCAGCTGTTGCACATGGCAGCTGCAAGAGCGAATTAGTGGGCTGGGGTGGTTGGAGGGGAAGCATGGAGGTACCTGCCCTGATCTCTTTTGCTGATGCCAGAGGAGGATGTGGATTTGGCCCAGAGTATTAGCACTTCACTTGTCCTAGTAGGTGGCAGTGCTTGGGCTCAGCACGCCTGGCAGGGGCTGTCTGGCAGGTCAGTGTCCCCGCTTTCTAGGGTCAGTTTGCATTTTGCAGCTGTCCTGCTTCCTCCTGAGGCGACAAGGAGGCTTCCCAGGGCTTGTCTGTGGCCAGACAGGGCTTTCCAGGCCCACTAGAAGTTGTCCTGTCACTGAGAAAGTAGGAGCTGGACACAGCTCTTGGAGTGCAGCACAGGTGTGTACAAACTTGCCTTGTCCCAGCAGCTACTCAGGGTAGTGTTGGAGAAAGCTGAGGTGCAGGAGTTGCTTTGCTTTACCCAGCTTGGGAAGTTTTAGGCCACCAGGGAACTGTTAGAGTGGAATAGCTTCAGCTGGAGAGGCTGAGGACATTTCTTCTGGGAAATCCCTGTCCCTTGGCAGATGGAGCAGCCACACTGAGGGAGAAGATGCCAACTTAAATATGTCCTGTGACAGGAGAGAGCGATACAGGCTGTCTCTCATCTGCTAAATAGCTGAACAACAGGATGGGGAGGAAATCTCACACAGCTGTGTTGTAGGTGCGTTCCCAAGCAGATCTCTGCTGCAGAGGAGCTACTGGTTATCAGGAGAGCTGGCATCACTCTGGAGAATCCAAGTCCCCCTTGGGTTCCTGTGGTCCTTGCTACATGCTGAGGAAGCACCTGCATCTTGCCTCAGCATCTCCGTTGCCCAGACCATGGCTTGTCAGTGGGCCTAAACATGTTGCTTAGTTCAGGACTAGGATTCTGAGTAGGGCACACCTTGCTATATTGCTACTGCTCTGCCCAATCTTTAGCTTGTTCCTTACCTGCCCCCTACCAGGCAACGCAGCACAGTTCTGAGTTTCCTTGCAGCATGCTTTCTCATGCTGGTGAGGGTTCTTTTTTTGTGGTTACAGGCACCCAGGAGAGACTGCAAACAAGGCAATGAGAGGAGAGAAGCTGTGGCTGCTCTCTGGGGAGGATGTCAAGAGGCTCAGGAGCATGGGATTTAAGCTGCAGGAACGTGGGGCTTAAGCTGCAGGAACGTGGCTAGCCCTTGCTTTTACTTTTGTGGCTTCCTTTATTCCTTGCATATGTATGGGGTCCATCAAGGGATGAGCTGTCAATACCCCCCTCATCCTTGAGCACTGAAGAAAAGCCTGACCTCTCTCCACCCAGCAACCCCCAAGGAGGAGGCTCTCATGCCACCATTGCTCTTACCTCAGCCTTACGCCATGGCGCTGCTCGTTGTCTTTTGCCGTGCTTATGGAAACGGTAAGTACTCAGCTGCTCATGCTGCTGTAGGATACCTAAATCAACTTTATTCACAATCACAGTTACCCAATTTTTCACAATGAGTTATTCTTCTTTTTAAACAGAACACAAAACATCTTAAAGTAAAGCAATGAAATGCAAATGACACAAGAACACGGAGGTACATGGGAACCTACACCAATCAAACAAAACAAAAGGTTAGGATTGTTGTTACTGTTACTGGTTTTGCTGTTTGGTTTTTTTTTTCTTTTTTTACTCCCTGGAAAGAGCCTTGCTCTCCTCCTCCCTGCTCACAACCAGAGGCCAGCTGATGCCGAGAGCAGGACTTAACCTCAATTTTTGAGCTCGGATGCTGGGGGATGCTTTCAGCTTCTGCTAACTCCTAGAGTTTGGTCCACAGTAAAACAAACACAGTTATATATTAAAACACTCTGAATTTGAAAGGTGAAAAGGGAATTCACACCACTGCACTGGTACCCATGGATGGAGTTTCTTGAAAATAAAATGTACCCCTTAGCTTGCCCTGCATGGAGGGGAACCAGTCCCACTGGTGCAGTGAAGGCTTGGGAGGCTGCTTATTGCACGTTTCCCCACATCCACTTTTTCATCAACACCTTCCTACCCCATAGGTTCCTTCTCTCCAAAACCTTTGCACTGGAGTTTGTATAATTACTGCAACAGGCTCCCTGTGTCTGCTGGTCATGGCTCTGTCCTTGGGCAAGCTGGAGAGTGGGTGTATGCCTGCAGACAAGCTGTGCTCCTGGAATAGCTGCTCTGACCCCTCAGACTTATGCCAACCCAGCCTTCTCCCACCCTTCAGTGAGGGTTTCTGGGCACAGGAGCCATGGTGTTCTGGAGCTTTTGACAGTTGGCCTGGAGGGCGGGGGAGGGCTGGGTTAGGGCTATACATGAGAGGTATGTGAAGAAGTAATGTAAATCCCTGTAACCAGAATATCAGCATTCAAGTTAGTACTGCCTGCTAGGACAGGCTAGGGGTGGCGGCAGACACCCATGGTAGGCTGCAGTGATGGCGACACCTTTAGAGAAAGGCTCTACAATGTGCTCTCCAGCTGGTTGCCTCTTTTACTTCCTGGAGAGGATGAGGTGAGGACATGTTTTCCAGGCACCCTCAGGAGCAGCCTCTGCAAGTGCTCCTTCACCTACCTGCTGCCTGGAGGGAGCCAGAATGCCCCCCTGCAGCAAGTGGCTGTGTATATTAAATGCTTTTATCTCTATGCCACACTGTCTTCTCTTCATGTCCTGTCAGCAGCCATATGCTGAGGTGGAGAAAAAAAAGGCTCTGCAGGAGGATGTAAGTCCATGGCCTTCCCCTGCCTCGCCTGATCAGCAACATGAGAGGACCAATGTTACTGCTGCACCCCAGTCCTGATCACACCTCGGGGGCCAGACAACACCTCTTCTTCTGGCGTGGCCCTGGAAGGCAGCAGGCTTGAGCTGGAGGGGAGAGAGGCAGCTCTTGCTGCTGTGGAGCCACCCTGCCTGGGCCCAAGGGCCAGCAGCCCTAGGCCGGGACAGTGGCCGTGGCAGAGCAGTGGTCGTTACAGCAACCATGGGGGCTGCCATTGCAGTCGCCCACCATGGGAACAGCAAGGTTCCCAAGTGGGGCAAGAAGGAAGGGGATTTACTTAAATAAACCAAAGCAAACCAAACCTCTCAATCTATTTGTTGTTGTTCTTTCCTTTCTTCCCAACATGTAAGGACAGATATGTTCTGCTGGCAGGCTGGCTGTGAAGGGCTGAGTACCACCTGGCTGGTTTTATCTTAAAGCACAGTGATAAAGTTACCAGTAAATAAAACCCGCAGACGTGTGGGTTTGTACATTCTTCCCCGGTGGGGTTGGGGTTTTTGTTTCTTTTTTTTTCTTTTGTTTTCTCCCTTTTAAGTGCTGTCCAGATGGTAGGGAGAGGAAAGGTGAGGGAGACACCTCGCCCTCTCCTGCAGGCCCATGGGAGCAGGGATGCTGCCAAATCCCTCGTGCTGTGTGGAGACCATTTGAGGCAAGCCACAGCAAATTGGCGTTGATGGGGTTTGAGAGCTGCTTGTCATACAACGGGATGGTGACAGGAGGTGGCTGGATGCTGCCGGGAGGGATCAAGGCCAGTGCCGCTGTTGGCTGCCAAACCCACCACAAATGCCTCTGCTAGGGAACAGAGAGGGAAAAACAGGGGACAGCTCTCGAGGGGCTGCCGTGGAGCTGCTCTTCTGCCTGTGGACACAGAGTGAGTTTTGCTTCACAAATTCCAGGTCCTTTTCTGCACTGGCCCCAGCCTTTCCACTGTGAATGCACTCACTGCACCTCGTTTGTTTGATCAACACTGGCCTCGCCCCATCCTTTCTAAGGGGCTTCCCACAGTCAGGCTGGTTGTACGTGGACACATGTTGCTTGTTTCTCTTCTTCTGCTAAGCTGTCCTCTGTGCACGGAGTGTGTCCAGAAGGAGACGTATAGCACTGAAACTTTTACTGCTTGCTGTCCCTGCTAAACATTGGAGACTTCCCTCCACTGTGCATGGTGTAGAAAAGGGATGATTGCACCAGCTGTTTGTTTGGGGTGTTTTTTTTTTTGAGATAAAGTTTAAAATCCATAAGGGAGAGTAGTCCATCACAACTTCCCTGACACACTGGAGTTCAGCTCCAGGACTTGCTTGGAGGATAGAAGAGCAGCATCTATGCTTGTCTCATCTGTTGTCCATGGAAAAGGGGATCAGGGTGGTGGTGAGTGATGATTGATTTTTGAATCTCCTGGATGATGAATAGAGATCAAGACCTGTGTTGTTTCACAGCCTCCTCTCCACCTGTCCAGTCCCCACCACAGCATCTGCTGCTGCTCTAAGTGCTGCGGTATGTTTTGATGATATCTTTGATGGCCCGTCTGCAAATGGGGCAGCAAGCATTGGCCATCTTCTTGAGCTTCAGCCCACATGAATAGCAGAGACACATGTGTCCACAGGAGTAAATGACCGTGTCTACCATGTTCTCATAGCAGATGGTGCATTCATCTCCCCAGGGCCCTGAGACGGACGGGGAGATGGGTGACTCAGGCAAGCTGATGGGAGAGTTGGGGGCTGTGCCTGAAACACAAAGAACAGGGTCAGTCATGCTGCTTAAAAGGCTTCTTGACATCCCAGGGTAATTTCTGCCTTGAAGCAGAAGAGGATTTGGTAAGTTATATATCCCACCATCAACAGTTTTGGATCATGCCAGTGCCTGGGGTTTTAAAAATGCTGCAGAACAGCCTATCATTTTCTGCTTCATGTACATTTATCTAAAGCTCACTAGAATTCATCGACATATTAGAAATATCAATACTGCCTTTTTCTGAAGTGAGTACTGAAGGTGCGTGGAGAGGGAAAGTGGGGGGCCGTAGGCTCCAGTTGAAGCTAGCATGCAACACATCACTGCCACACAGCTCCGCGGAAGGAGCTGTGCGTCACAGGGCCACGCACACAACAGAAATACTGCTGCCTCCCTTGGGACCTTTCATGATGAAAAGGGTTAGAGAAATATTGCTGTCTAAGCATCTAAGTGGCTTCCACATAAACCAGACTGAAAATAGCCTTTGCAGAGGCTCTCCCTTCCTCCCTGAGGGAGCTGACAGGAGACTCTGTTGCTCATTGTGGTTCTGGGAGACAAGGCTGAGACTGGGAGGGAGGCAAAGGAAAGGCAGAGGGGGATCCCACGACACTTACCACTGATAGAGCTGCAGAGGGGGCCAGAGCCACACGTAGACAATATAGGGTCAGAGACGCCACTGCAGAGGATGGTGGGGGAATTGGGTGTCGATGTGGGCGAACTTGGTGTGGACAGCCCCAGCCGTTCAGCTAATATGGTGGAACCTGCACCATGAGAAAAGAAAACCAGTCACTTTTAAAAATTGGAGTTGATGACTGAGGATGATGTGGCTGGGTTGCAGCTTGCAGTGCTTGTCAGGATTTGTGTCTCATCAGCATGAAATCTAGTGAAGAGATAAAGAAAAAAAAAACAAACCCACAACAAACAACCCTCATACACCTTTTTAACTGGTCCTGAAGAGGCATTGAGCTCCCACAGCAAATGAAATTTGTTGGAGCTCCTTAAGTCATGATTGTCCTTCGTTTCTGCCCTTAAATATGTCTCAAGTCATTAAGTGTAGTTATTTTTCTTATGGTTTCAAGCTCATATGCACCCTCAACACTATACCCAGTGATGGGCTTGTAGCCAGTAGAAGACACAGCCTGCAGTAGGGTGGGCTGGACTCCAGCACAAGAACGGATCACGTTGTCAAAGCACTCTACACTAACCCAGCACAAAAAAAAAACAACCACATCATCCCAGGCTCTGACAAATTCATGCAAAGTCACTCAGGGACTTCCCAGAGACAAACACAGGGGTTTGGCAGTCAGGAAAACTTAGCTCTGCTCATTGCTCTGCCTCTTCTGTAAGGTGACCTCTGACAGAGGCAGGATAGCAGATGAGGACAGAAATGTGCAGGTTCATGTGCATGAAACAAGGTATGGTTTCTTGGTGGTAAGAACTAGTTTGCCTATGGTTTTAAAAAGTTCCTAGTTCACTAGCTGAGAAGACAACCAGCGTAACTCCAAATCAGAATTAAAATGCTAAGACTTCTTCATGTTACCATATAAGGAGCCAAGAGACACAGAGGGTTTGGATCCAGTGGCCTCGATGAGTCGGAGACTACTCTCCAGAGAAAAAGCAGCAGTAGGAGGCAAGGAAATCCCTGTGCTAGAAAGTGCCTTCAGTTCCTATTTGCAAGGAGTCTACCAAGCCAAGGAGGACCAACCTGGGAAGCAGGGACTCCAAGTGCCAACTGTGGATTGTGAAAAAAAAAAGCAGAAGCACAGCACAGCCAATGCCAGCTTCTCCTGCCCTTGTCAGCAGAACAACACTGAGCAGTTCAAATGTAGCACAGGGACTGAGGCAGGGTCGCGTTTAGGTCAAAATCTGTTCTGAGGACTGCATACGGGGGGGGCGGGAATAAGCAATTTGTTTCAGCCTTCAGTCCCTCAGTTTTACCCCCACTTCAAATGAGGAGCACTTTGCTCACAGACATAATCTGAGGTTAAATAGCCTCTATAAAGGGCTTTGGGGCTCTCACACTTGAGATGCTGTAGAGAGGCACCTCCTTTATCACACAGACGGGAGCCGAGGCTGGAGGTTAGCTCAGTAAATACGCAAAAAAGAATGCTGCTGCCTCTAATGACAGCCACTGGCAAAGGTCCTTCCCCTCCAATCTGACAGATGACCGTCACAGAAAACTTGCCCTGTGGGTAGCACACTCTGTAAACAGGCCCAGCAGGGACACAGATTTCAGCTCGTTCAGTGCACACAAAACAAATATGAACACTGAGCAGCTGAACAAGTTTCTGAAGCCTTCCCTCTCCTCTCCGCAGCCCAGAGACATTTCTTCCATTCAGATGACACACAGCACATTGCATTTCTAACAATAACTTTGTCATTTTGTTAAAAGCAAAATAAAAATTATTAGGAACATTTTTCTTCCTGGGCCAGTAAGAGAAGTTGGAGGTGCCGCAAATGTCACAGGGTACAAACTGATAACGTGTGCTGGCAGCAGTGCAAATGACCTTTCCACAGTGCAAGGAGCAACTGTCAGTGCAGGAACTGCACTCTTCTCTGGTTGTAGCTGATCTGAGCCCCAAAATGGCCTTAGTCAAGACCCAAGGGCAAGCTCACACCTTCCCAATTCTTTCTCCTAACACAAAGCGCAAGTTCTTGACTTTTCTCCAGCGTAGGCATAGAGTTTTGTTTAAAACAATCTGAATTCCCTACCAGACAAGACACACTTCTCCCTTAGTGACAGAATAATCAACATAAGACACGTTACTCACGCTGTTACTATATTGCTGGATGGTGTGCAGATACCATGACAAGGAGCATGGAATGAGATCATGTGCAGGGTGGAATGAGTGTGGCCAGCTTGGCTTAACTAAAACCAGACACATGTGCTCAAAGCCAAACACGCTCATTGTGCACAAAGAGCTCCCACCAAGAGCTAGATTTCAAAATATAATTAAAAATTTAAATAATAAATCAATTTAAATAATGATTTAGAAACATTCTTCTTTGCTGTAAAGGCCCCAGGTAAGTTGTCTCTGCTGCTAACTTGTCTCATGCTTGATCTCAAACTTGCTGAACACACTGGAATCACCTTTAAATGGTTTTTGAATCAATTCCATTTGCTGTTTTGTCTGCAAAGTCCAAGTATTAGCAAAATCCAGAGCAGATTGACTCTTTCTCTGCACTTCTGTCTTCAGTCTGAGAGAGAGATGCAACTAAATGAACCTATATATCCACCCACAAAAGAAAAGAGAATATTACATTTTCAGTAGAAGAGAGCATTACCATGGAATGTACAGACAACATCATGCCAGGAAAGGCTGCTCATACACTAGAAGTTTGTAATTCAAAATGGTCTTGCCAAACTGGAAGAAAGCTCAGAAATAAATGGGATGTTATTCAATATGATCAAATGCAAAATGCAGCACTTAAGCAGAGATAATCAGCTACCCAAATACAGGACAGGGAATTAGTCCATTCAATTGGAAATACAGCTGTCCTATAGAAAAAGGCCTGAGCATTGCTGGAGTTCACCAGATGATCATAAATGAACAATGCCATCTTGTTATGAAAAGGTTGTGCCAATCCAGGGTCATAAGAGGCTGGTTAAGGGCTGGAGCAGGAGCCTGGAGGCACAGTGGTATCCCTGTCTCTGGAAATACTCAAAACTCGGCTGGACATGGGCTTGTGCTAACTTGGAAATCAGCCCTGATTTGAGCAGGAGGTTGGATTAGATAATTCCCAGGGGTCCCTTCCGACCTAAAATGTTATATGACTTTATGATTTTAAGATGGCAACATATTTCACAGGCTGCTAAAAGGAAAGAAGAAACAATCTGTTCTTTGTGAAAGTTCTGGATGAGACAATAAATCATTGGTTCAGGCTTCTGAGGCTTTCAGGTTAGACACTGCATAGATGGTGAAGCACTGTAAGGCAGTCAGACTTCCTAGAGAGACTATGGCATCTCCATCATTAGAGCTCTTTAAGACCAAGAAGGTGAAGTAGGGAGTCTCTTGGGATCCCATCCAGCTTTTTATGAGAGTAGTTATCTGTATCCGTAATTGCCCTTTAATAGAACTGCCTATCTGCAACCAAAATACAGCACCTGTGGCCCTGAGAGATGCTCTCTGTGTCTACTGAGGTGAACAGGGTGGTTTCCCAGAACACTGCAGTGTGCTCTCAGGGGATACCTCCTGAGGCTGTCCCAAAATTTAAGCAGACTTTTTTTGCTCATCTCTCTTAATGGCAGCTGTCTGGGGAGAGCTGTGCCACAGAAGGACTCACATTGGTAAGAAGGCCAGATGTAGTGGCAATACTCCCTAAAAATACAGAAAATTTGCCAATTAGCTCTCCTCCTTAATTAATATATAAAAATATTGTTTCTACATTTCTTTCTCATAATGAAGTTATTATGTTGAGCTATTTATTACTGCGAAGGCCCAGAGAGAGAACCAGAAAACAACTACAACAACAAAACCAGGTGAGGAGGGCAATGTGCTGGTTGTATTCTCCTCTGAGCATGCTTAGGGGCATTTGTTGTGATGCAAGTAAATCCCCAGGGCAGCTCTGTGGCCTGGAGCAGGGAGTAGCTGCCACAAATCTGTTCTGCAGCTATCATAGTCCACTGCTATATTAAGACTCCTAGATCCAAACTACAACTGAGATGGAGGGAAAAGCAGAGTAATGCCAAAGAACATGTTGTTTCCTTATTTTTGTTGACTTTGGATCACTGAAGGTTGGGAAACTGCCAGTTTAAGGTATTCATAACACACTTCTTTAATCTGGTATCTATTCCTGAGAGAGGTGATATAGGGGCAGGGCCATTCCTGGGACTCAAATAATGACAACAGGCTGAACTCCATCAGATTATGAAAAACACTCATCAGCCAGTGGAAGGCACTTAGTAACTTGTTGGGATTTGACAGGGGCATTCCTCATACTGTTCCAGTATGGGGAGTGGTGTTCATGTCCATACGGAGACAAAAGCAACACTCAACCCATTTTAATAAAGCTCTGTCTCCCTCTATTATTCCTTCCCCTCTCATAAGTAAATTCAACATTATATAGCCCCATTGCACTTTTTCAGATCTTAACCCAAAAGACCTGCAAGCACAATGTTTCCATCAGAGCACTGGGATTGTGCTTGTGGAAGTCTTGCAGAAACCAAGCTCCACAGGCTGAAAACGTTGCTGCTTTGATGTAGAAATGCAGCATTGCATAGTCTGGAGACTTTGCTTTAAAGGTAAAAAGAAACAAATGAGCAATATCCAGTGATTGCTGGCTGCAAATAGGAACGATTTCTGCCCCTAGATTACTTTTTGGCAGTGCCAAACACCATCTCAGGTGTTTCTCTCACCTTCTGCTATTTTCATTACCCGCCTAGGCTCTTAATGGCTATTTTACCAGCTTTGTAAAAATAATGCATAACCACTCAGTCTGCACTCCAGAGCTATCCTGTTCCCCTCCTTTGAACCTATCCAACCTGAACTTTGTTTTTCCTGGCTTTCAGGATGCTGTCAGTAAATGACCACTGCTGTACAACTCACAGCTCATATAGTTCAAACATCTTCACCTTTTAAATGGGCTTTCCTTACCCATACCCATCTTCTGGACTATGCCAGGATCTTAACTAAACATTGTACCTAAAAGACAAAATATGGAAGCCTCCTGCCATAGTTTCTAAGGAAGATAAAGTCTTAGGCAACATATTGCCTTGCCCATATGCTGAGTATCATGTGGAGCACATTGACAGCCCCTTCTT